CATACCAATAGCTTCTTCTGTATTGATAGACAATTCATTGTACTCCAGAACACATTTTGAATCATCTTCAGCTATAGAACTCTCAACCATTTGCTTTCTTTTTTTGGTTTGCTTTTGTTTATTGTCCGAGACATCTAAAATAGCATGTTGATCAAGAGGAATGAGCTCGGGGAATAAATAATGTGCGCACCTTTTTAAGGAGGCATTTTCAGAACCTAAAGGATGCATATCCAGAAGCTAAAGGAAGCATTTTCAGAAGCTAAAGGAAGTATCTCCATACCTTCTGATATTGTGGTTTTCCCTGAATGAAGCAGCACATTGCACGGTAATGCCTCCACCAGACGAAGAAAAACAATGTTTCATAATAATTACCAAATCCAAAACAATAAAAATATAAAACATTGTCACCTTTAAACAATAAAAACTTCAGAGAAGATATCAACTCCTGCTTATTGCCACTTGTTGACAAACCTACGCTCCTTGAATGTGGAGAACAGACAACAGCAACAACAATATTAAAACCCATCACAAACATAAACTCTAATGTCTCTAGATAAAGGTGAAAGTATATAAAATAATATTTTTTCTCACCTTGTCATTGTCCTGAGTTCCTTCACAGTCATGGAATCAAGTTTATCCGGATTGCTTCTAATTTCCTCAATTTCAACTGATTCAATAGAATTTCCCTGAGGGATCAATCACACAAATAGTCAAGCAAGTGCTTCGATCAAAGAAGAACTAATCCGCATTTCCATTTTAAATGAATGGAAACACCATTATGCATTTCTAACCTTAATAATACTCTTCTCCGAGTGTTCGCTGCAATCTTCAGAAATCTTAAGTTCTCTGTCTTTCTTCCAGTCTGAAGCCGGCATTGGAAGGTTAGATGAATGCATTTCAGAGGTCATGCCTTTCAATCTCACGCCCACTGGTACCCCAACTCTCAGCTCCTTCAAATACAACGCATTCCTCAATAACATAGAAATCGCTTTTTTTATCCTCAATCTCTGTCCTTAGCCATCAAGATTATAAATTTATGCATCGAGAACATGATCAACACCCTTCTAGGCTCAAAGAAGCTATTCTGTTGAAATGAAGTCGGTCATGGAAATTCGCTGGTGCAAATAAGCAGAATGTGAAAATAAATGTAGCATGTGGGAGAAAACTACAAGCCTACAAGCACGCACAAATAAGTAATGGGGATTTTTCATACCAAAACCTACAGTGAGTTCTGATGCT